GTTTGATTAGTAATATCCATGATGAGCGTTGGAAGGAGACAGCGGTGATATAGATGCCATGTGTTTCTCTTAGAACTTTTCATATTAGTGAATCTTTATGGTATCTTGGAAACATGCTTTGATTCCTTCATTTTATAGGGGGAGGCAAAGCAATAGCAGGTGGATATAGCCCAAAGCTAAACCTTTTAATATCTCTTGCTCTTGTTTTATTTCTGTCCCATTCATCTAGATTATTTGTTTATTACTACCGTGCCTTATAAATGTTTGTCTGTTTACTCCTTTCCATTCCCGCTGCCACTGTTATCAATTTTGATCCTCATTAAAAGAACTATTATAGGAGCTTCCTAGATCATGTCCCTGCTTCTGGTGCTTATAATTTTTGATAGGGTCAAGGGTCATGGGCTCCACTGAAAATCACTCAGAAACCTGAGTGCTTACACACACTTCTGTCAGTTTGTTCAGAATTGTAAATTCCCTAAGGTCTATCTACACTTGATTAGAAACCCCTAGTCTAGTTATCCCCCACCAACCTAGCCCTCAAATTTCTATCAGACTAATTTTCCTAATATATACTTTAGATCAGATTACCTTCTGCTCAGAACCATTTCATTTTCTGTTGCCTTCAGAACAGAAGTCTAATCTTCTTGGATTGGAATCCAAGCTCTTTCAAGCTCTCACCTTTGCAGCCCATTGTTTCCTGTCCACCCTTGTTTCCTCCTCCCAAATACACAACCTTCTAAGCCCAACCAGAATATTGCTATTTCCCCAATATTTGCTTCACTTTGCTCCCACAATTACTGCTACTGTGAGACTATCTTTTCCTTCACTCCCACCTCCTTGAGCCCTTTCCAACCTTCAAGCCCAGTGTCTGTTCTGATTCTGTTATTTTTGTGGACGTAGCTCTCAGCACTGAGTAAGACCTTGTAGAGTGTCTTGCACATCATGGTGGTATATTTGTCTGTTGGCCCTCAGATTTTTTCCTTGTGTTATTGAAAGGCTAACCCCTGAGGGTTGTACTGTCCAGTTTCCGGAGTCATTTGGCCTCCATCTGGGTTCAGCCATTGGAAAGCCCTGGAGGGAGAATGGAAGACTGACAGAAGGAAGAAGCCAGGTTATTTCTTCCCCAATCTGTGCCTCAGACAGTGTCTCTGATGGCAGCTGTGTCTCCTCTAGGGCTTCAGCTCCTACCAGAGGGGCCCTTTGAGCTTTCAGTTTCTGCGGAGTGACCCTGGCCCCAGGGCTCCGTATTATCACATCCATTCTTTGTCTCTATTATAACTCAGGGATTTCCTACAATTGCTGAGTTCCTGAATGCCTCATTTGCCCCTGTTTGCCTTCATATCTTTTCCTTTACCTGGCTTATCAATTCCCTGCATTATAGTCCTTCTGTTTAAATACTTAGACTAGTTTTTATATTCCTGGTTGAACCTTGACTGAAACCGCTAGCATTTGATGGCTATTTGCTGAATTTTATTGCCTAATTTTACACTATCTTCTATGTGGGCATCTCTTTTTATGAGTGAACCAAGCATAGGCCCTATATCAGTTATCTGCTATAGGGCACAGTAGCATTACATGGGTTTATCTAGGGTAGTAATAAATTACCTCAAAACTCAATGGTTTGAAACAATTGGTATTTATAAGTTCATGAGTCTGAAGGGTGACTGGGTAGTTCTTCCACTTCTAGCTGGGACCACTCATGCATCTGTGGTCAGCTATAAGTCAGCGAGGTGGCCCTTCTCATCCTACCTGGGCTCTCTCATATGTATGGGACTTGGCTGGTCAAGGCTGATCTAGGATGGTCTTGGCACTGACAGCTGGCATGAGTCAATTTCACTCCCTGTTTCTCAACCATGACAGGCCAGCCCAGGCGATCACAGAGGAGAAAGAGAAAACACATAAACATAAAAAGAACTTTTTCAAACCTCTACATACAGCATACCTGCTAACCTCCCATTGGCCAAAGCAAGTCACATGGTCAAATCAGATTCAAAGGGGCAGGAAACTGAAATCAAATAGTAAGAGGAACTGCAAAATTACGTGATAAAAGATTAGGCACAGGGAGGAGTAAAGAATGTAGGCTATTAATTCTGTTAAGTCCTTCTATCTCAGGCTCCAAAAGATTTGAAGAGACCCAAGACAACAGAGGTAGGGAGGGAAGGAGATGATAGATAGATAGATAGATAGATAGATAGATAGATAGATAGATAGATAACATTAATTTTTGCCATAATATTAACCCTTTTAAAATGAAAACTTTGCAATAAAATACACATTATGTATTTGCTTTTTTGTTCTATACAGTTCCTTTGTACATAGTTACTGACTGAAAAAAAAGCTAGACCAAGTAAACAACCATTTATAAATAACATTAGTAAACCAAGTTAAAGGGAGTTTATTTATTCTTTAACCTTTAATTTGCATTCATTGGGAGCTGTCCTGGGAAATTGTGTCAACCTCACCTCAGGTCAGATTGCTTAACAAAATGAACTGTTTCATGCCCAGAAATAAATGTATTCCAAATATAAATATGAATCAGTTACAAAATAGGTTCTTTTGAAAGTACAATATAGCCACACTGCTAATATCGTTGCGCCCCAATTAAAACTGTGTAAAGAGCACATATTCGGGGGCTCAAGTTGTTCCCAAGGAGTGAGTCTCATTCTTGCTTTGAATCTTGTATAAACACACTGGGCAGCCTCCTTTGAGCCCTGAGCAAATTCATAGTTCCTCGTTTTCTAAAGAGAAGAATTAAAACTGGGTATGTTTAAGTTGGAAGGGTCTGGGGCTTGACCTTGCTGCTTTAAATTTCCTTCATCACTAAGAAATCACTTTGAATTTGGCTTCTTGGAGTACTCTACTTTGGCTTGTTCTTGGTTTGAGGCACATAATGAAAAAGATGCTCTCTGTTTGTATGTGGACACCACCTCCCTGACAACGCTGTTTCAGCTTCCTTCTCTGCAGTTTTATCATTAGAACCTAAGCCTGTTCTCAGTCATTCAGACCAAGGCCCATCACATCTTACTGCCTGGGTGAGACTCCTGGCGCCCCTCTTCTCCACTGTTGGGCAAGGTTTTAAACCTTTCTCTGCCTCTCCTTTCCTAATCTGAAAAAATGATGTTATGAATAATACCTACCTCATGTGATCATTGTGAGGATTAAATTAAGCAAAATTAGGTAAAGGATATAGCATAACCCAGCCCACAAAATGTGCTGAGTGTTATGTATAAAAATTCTTATTATTAATCATTATGTGACAATTTTTAGGTTGTTTGTACTGAGTCGGGCTCACATATGTTCTTCAAAGTCTAAATCAATTATACCCTAAAACAAATAAATCGAGGTTCAATATCATTTTCATACAAAAGGCACTGTTTGTTTTCAAATATTGGTGTGAGGGGTAGTGGTATATATTTACTCATATTTGCCATAAAGCTACAACAACAGTTACAAACACAAGTTTCTCCTTGACCTTGTCAATTCAGTCTTTAAAATTCTTTTAGAATATGTGTCTTAAATGTCTTGGTCTTTGACTTCAGACTATCGGAGTTTCTGACTGTCTAGCGAGCAGGGTGGTGAAATTGATGGCTTGGGATTTGAAGATTTATGACAAGTGCAGCACAGAGAGACTTTGATAAAAATGGATAAACACCACCCCAAAGTCTTCCTTAATGTTGTTTCAAAAGGGAGGAAAGCTAAGAATAAGCAGATTGATTTTTAACAAATACGTTTTGCCTTTCCACCCCTTGAGTTGTTGATTCTTCATGGAGTCATCGTTCTGTTAAAACAAGACGAGGCAACGTCTTGAGAAGCTCAGAGTCAACTGGCAGAGAAAATTCACACCTACACACATACATATGCACACCCACACATAACCAACAATCACTTTAACGATATAACAAGTGCTTTTATGGTGCCATAAACGTTGGATGTTGGGTGAGAAGACGATGACTGAGCATATATTTGTTCAATGTGGCAGTTAAAGGGGATGAGCTGTTAGAGATCCACATGGTTAGCTCTCGCAGACACACTGCTGAGTCAAAAATGCAGAAGGATAGATACACAGACACAGGTTCATATCCTAAAAACACACAATGCTGTTCATTATCCTAGATACACATATGTAAATGTTAAAAAATGTACTGGAAAAATACAACTGCGTGGTCGGGCTTTGGAGTGGGGTTGTCAAGGTGATTACACCTATGCTCCATTTTCTTTTCAATTAAAAGAAAACAAGAGGAGATGTGAAAAAATGTTATCAGTGATCCATCCTGGGTAGCAGGAACCCAGACATTGGTTCTACTAACCTCTGTTTTTCTATGATTTCTAAGTTCAGCACAACAAAAATTGGGGGACCGCAGTTTAGTGGAACAGCAGCTTCTCACCTATGCAGACACTTAGAGATTGTCTGCTGCACATGCAGATGTCACGATCTGTTGGGCTGTCTCTTTCATCTGTTTATACATGTGCGAAGTGTCCCCAGTATGATCGCACTGAACACAGCCCAGACAGTGCCATAGCTTCATGTCAATGCATATCCTGTCACTTCACCAGAGGGCACGGCAAAAGCTTTTATTCGTTAAGACCTATCCCAGAAAATGTCCTCGGAGACCCAACTGGACGCTCTTTAGCACTAATTTTCTAAATTGTTTAAGATTCGCATTTGCTTTTTAGTCCCTTTCCCAGGCTGAGAATCCAAGTCCTGAGTCCTGTCCACGGAAAAGTAGGTCTTTGGGATCCACAAACATTGTCCCATGCCTACTTCGATCCGTGTGTTGAAGTCCCTTTCTCTGAAACCATCTCCCCTTTGGAGTGAGATTTTATCTAAGGTGATTTGCATTTATTCAAAATCAGAGACAGCTCTGAAACCAGACTCTATTTAAACATAGAAAGAAGAACAGATTAAGCAAATGTTGGGGAACTTTTATAAAACAAAACAAAACAAAACAAAACACTTCTATTTATCTTCTTGTGTTTCTTTCTTTTTTTTTTTTTTCCAGATCTGCGGTTTCCCTCCCATTGGCCTTCCAGCGCGGCTGCCAAGTTCCACAGGTGATTTAATGGATCAGAAGGTCAGATGTCAGGCTTGACTGGGCTGTTGGCAGACTTGTGGTCTCTCTGATTAATTGTCACTTTTTGACGTTATGGGAATTATCTTCTCATTTGTGGTGTTGCTGCTGTTGTTCTTTAACATAGTTGTAATGCTGGGTATTCAGGGAAATATAAAACAGTGAGTGGGCTTAAAAAAAACGTAATGGAGAAAAGGAATGCTGCAAATTCACTTGGGAGAAGAAAAGTAAAAATAGGACAGGGAGAGAAAGGAGCGAGCCCATTTTACATTTGTTATGTGGGGAAACTGTGCTTGCTGAAGATCCGACAGTCCTCTCCATTCTCCTTTCCTGGAGTGTTAAAAAGGGCCTAAGAATTAGATCACCCATTGGTGAGAGTGAGTCGGACAGGGCATATAAGCACCTGTGTGTTGAAGACGCCCTTTCTTTACTGACAAGCATCCTGCATTCTCCCTGGTGTCACCGGGGGGTTGGCAGTATCAAGCAGCTGGTTTGGAACACTAGGTTATAATTCGGAACCCAGTTTGTTTACATTATTATAACAACAGTTTCAGTTTGTCTCTGCAGTTAAGGTTGTGTCAGCACTTTCCTTTCTATGTTTATTGTTTTTAGCAGTTTAAAAGCTCCCCGTGAAAAAAATGGCTTTCTGGCTGTAAGGTGACATTCCGGCTGAGCCAGAGTCTGGTGGAGTCTATAGAAATGCTCGCTGGCTGTGGGAGTCAGGTCTTTTGAATGCTGTCTTTGTGCCTCCCCTTGCCCAGGGCCTCTGGCCTATTGTCTAGGTGCCTCAGTTAGGGGTGGCGCTATCTGATTGTAACCAGTACTAATATTACAGTGCTCAGTGCCCAGGCCCTCCCTGGGGGCCCCCAGTCTGGCTGCCTCTGTCTCCCAGCCTTCTCTCCAGGGGACCAGTCACAGCTCTCATATCAGAAAACACTATTTGTAATTTATAGAATGTTCAAGGGAAAAGGATCAGTAAAGATTGTCTGGACCTGTGGTTCTCTAACTTTTTCTTTCTTTTTTTTTTTCTTTTTTTTCACAAAGAACCCTTTCCCAAATGAAATCCTTCAGTGAGCCCCAATTTGTAAGACATGGAAAAGTACAGCTGTTCTGTTTGAAGATGAGAGGGTGCCATGAACCCCACTCTTCAGCCTCTTCTTCACACACCCCCAAATGACGTTACACCTCAGGTCCCTCACCTACCACTCCTCAGAAAACTTGCACACCATTCTTGCAGGGCAGTTCCCTCAATTGACAGATAAAGAAACTAAGATGTGATTTTTATAGATGCTTAAAACATCAGGCATTAGACACTAGAATTCTTCTTGCTTCATGAATACATTTTTATATTGTTCTAGAAAAGGCACAATTAATCTATGGTGATAGTAATCAAAACAGTGGTTACTGGATTGAGTGGAAAGGGGCACAGGGAATTTTCTAGAGTGATGAAAGTGTGTATTTTATAGAAGTGTGAGCTACTTGGCATTTGTCAAAATTCATCTTTGTTTTTTATTGTATATAAATTATACCTCCATTAAAAATAAAAACAATGAGGGAAATAAAACAAAACAAAAAATCTAGAGGCATTTAACAAATGAAACTACAGATGAACTTCCTTAAAGCGATGTGGACTATTTATTAAGTGGGGTCTAAGGTCACTCTGAGAAGTTTCAGAAAATAGGAGACCATGGTGCTCTTTCAACACATTCTTTGTTCAATAAGCACCAAAACCAGGGGGAAATAATTATCAGAGAATTCCAGACAGTAGAACCACTGAATATCTTTTGGGATCATCTCGCCTGTAATGTGGCTAAAGGATAATACCTAGGGGTTCTGGGAGTGGAAATCTCACGCGTTACTTGGACATGGACTGTTGATAACACTCGGGAAATGCTTCATAATTTTTTCATCCTTTGCTACCTTGTCTGAATGATTTTCCATGACCTACAAAATGTAAGATCCCTGATTATATATCTTATCGGAGTGGAACTTCTGGGTGGACTGAGGTGGGAAGACGGGCCTAAGTGACCTCTGTAAAATAAGTCACTGATGGATTCAGTCTTTCTGCTTAGGGCTGTGTCAAGTACTGGCAAATGATTGGCTGTGTACCTGAATCCTTGCAGTAGGCATTTGATCCTCTAAAAAGTACTTTCTTCCCCCTGAAATACTTGGAACCAACCCTATTTAAATGTTTCTATATGTGTGTTTTAGAAGTCACGCCATAACATGGAAGGTAATTATTTTGGTGGAAATGCAGCTCAGCTAAGGACATAGACAGGGCAGTAGGACCCAGCAGCCACCTCTACCTTTTAGAGCCTGGTGAGGAAGCCGGGGCTGGGAAGAACGAAGAAAAAATGTTTAAAGGAAATAATGACAGTGTAATGAAAAGACAAGAAAGGGTGCCGTAGAGCCAGAGCAGGAAGGATTTAAAGCTACTCAAATGTTCCAGTTTTTGAGGCTGTGTTATTTTGCTTCAGAAAGGACAAACTGTCTACTAATTGAGTGATTTCCCAACAAAGGGCCAAGGCCTATTTAATTTGCCACATGGATCCCACTGACAAAAATTTAGTTCACTAATGAAGCTGTGGCAAAACGTTCGTAAAGCAAGAACATTTTCAATAACCAGGCCATTTTTTAATTCACACATAGCATGCCTTTGCCTGCACATACATATAAATTTTGTAATCAAATTAAATTCATTTTAGCAAGAGATTTTTATCCAACCAATTCAGTTTAATGTTCCTAAAAGCAGAAATGAAAGTACACAGTGTAAGAGTTTGAGCAGAATTTGCTTTTCTGCAAAATCCCCTTTATTTGCAATTCTGTATGCATGTGAAAGGAACTGTTTCTTCAAGGCATTACGAGGCAGTCTATCCAAATGGAAACAAGCAAAACAGAAATGGTATGTCTTCTCAATTTTGGTGACTTGGGGCGAGTGATTTTCCTGGAGCCAACGCTCTTGAAATGTATGTATGCATGCATGTATGTATGTATTTGTTTTTTCATGTATAGATCATAAGTGGTCTTATGAAAATGCAGCATGTGTAGTCACAATTCTGTTATTCATGAGAATGACAGGGTAAAATGTCAATAATTGAAGCCCAATCTATTGATTTTTTTCCCACTGATTTTTTTTTAAATCAGCAACCTGAAACTTTTCAACCACTGAACTGCTTATAAGGGCTGTTAATAAGTGGGAAAATATCCTGATTTGAGTTTTATCTCCTTTTCCTTACCCCATCTATTTCCCCTATTGGTGCCACTGCACTCATTAACAACTAAATAAATAAATAAATAGAATGAAAGAAAAATAACAAACACTTAAATGTGCAAATTATTCTTCTTCTCAGTTTCCAGGTTAGGAAAGAGAGTAAAATAGTCAAGAGCAATGCCTAAAGGTATCACTGTCAGTCTCTGGCTTAAGAAGAGAAGCAATGGATCCAAACCAATTGATATATTACAGTTGCTGGATTGGAAAAATAGCTGAATTTGTGGAGAGAATAAACTACTATTTGGGGCCCATAACAGAAAACCATAAGTAACAGTGATAAACTTACAAAGGTTTGTTTTTCTCTCCAGGGCAGTGGGTGGGGTGGTTCTGTGATTGCTGGGGACTCAAGTACCTTCTATCTTTCTGCATTTCTATTCTTAGCGTGTGACTTTATCCTCAAGGTTACCTCTTGGTTCAAGATGACTGCTGGAACTCTAGTCCTCACATATAAATTCTGGGCACAGGGAAGTTGGAAAGGGGTGGGAAAGGGGGTGGCTATGTTTCTCCTCTTTAGAAGACCTTACCAGAATTTCCACCCAGCAAATTCTACCTATAATCTTCCACCAACTCCTAGCTGCAAAAGAAGCTGGAAAATATAGCTGGGTGCCCTGCATCCAGACATAAAGGGAGACATGGTTATAAAAGGGATTTTGTGGAGGCACCTGGCGCACCTGGTCACCATCAGGCAGCTATTAGAGACCCTTCAGTCATGGAGGTGAATGATTAGGGTGGGGCTTTAGAGGAACTGCCATTGTAGCCAACTGCATGGTGAATCAAAGGAGCAGTAAAAGGTAGACCTGAGCACTCCAGTGTGGTGATGAGCTTTGCATTACTGAGTTGGCATCAGGGATAGGAAAGACGAGATGAGTGTGGTAGAGCCTTGTGAAGAATGAATTGATGAAAGAAAATGTATTCATTCATTAGCTGTGCAATTCAAAACTAGGCAACTCAAATATATGCATATGTATATTCATGTAGTCCGGAAAGACATTTAGCTACACTTCTAGTAAAGAGGATCTGTCTGGATAAATTAAAAAGTTACTTTTTTTTGTTTACACAGAAAATTGGCTGGGAATTTCATGATGCAATCTATTGGCAATACATAAATAATACATAGATAAATATACGCATGCGCATATACAACACAAACAACCTAAGATTTATCTAGGGCTCCATTCTACCAGCAGCAATGGTTTTCAAACTTCAGCATCCCTAAAAAAAAGGAGGAAAAGAAAAAAGGAGCTAAGCTAAATTATAGACTTTTAAAGGGAATGAGAGGAAAAAGAGTTGTAAAACTAAGAAGGAGTTGGAAAGGCAGGATGGGGAAAGAACCGGTTTTTCTTTCTTCTTTTCTTTCTTCCTTCCCTGCTCTCTTTTTTCCTTTCTTTCTTTTTTTTTCTTTCTTTCTTTGTTCTCTCTCTCTCCCTTCCCCTCCCTCTCTCTCTCCATCCCTCCCTCCCTTTCACTCTCATTCCTTCTTTCTTTAATTTTAGAAGTAGAATTATGAGTTTGGTAATCATATTTTCATAGACTTTTCCTTATGAGCACCTAAATGAGAAAGAATTTAGCCCTCAAGTCATCACATCCCTCAAAAGTCAGAGGGCAGTAGATAATGTCTTGCTCTTTTGCAGATCACAAAATCAAAGATATCTGTGGTGCTAGTGGGATGGAGCCAGAGGTCCTGACACAGCTGTTTTAGAACTCCTTGCATCTGTGGTGTACCATACACCCA